TACCAGAACTTGAAGTGCTATTAAATGTCTGAATACAAGTAAATGCTAAAGAACCTTAGCATTTTGTTTTACTTGCCCATAGCTTTTTTATAAATATTCACCCAATAATTACAGCTAATTTCTTATTCAAAAAGAATTGCAGAGTATAGAGAGAAGCCGATTGCTTAAAAAGTTTCCTCGCTTCATCCAAAAAAAGGAGCTAGAGGGCATACAAGAATTCCACAGAATAATAATAATTATCATTATAAAAATTTCACCAAGAACTCAGGGTAACCCTATTCCTACTTTGTCAATTTGCAATTACAGGTGTGTTCATACAATATTGTAATTTGTTGTTTATGTAAATATATTCCTTTGACTCCTCCAGTCTAGGTCTGTTATATCCATTTTTCTGTTCACAAGGCTAAGCCTATATTATGCAAATGACTGGGACTGGTTGGTTTGTTGGCTGATTGATTAGTTGGCTTAATCAGTAAAAGGGAACTGGGGCCTAGAAAATTAATGACTTGCCCAAGATCCAAGAGTAAGCCAGAGAGCTAAATCTCAAACCTGTGTGTTTTGGTGTCATATCTAGAGATTTTCCCCTTAATTACCTTCAAAATCTCTCTCCACAGTTGTCTTTTCCCCCTATTTGTTTTGCATATGATGGAAGACAGTCATGTACCCACCTCACTGATTATGATCAGAGTCATATTGTTTCCTCGACTTCCAGGAAAGCCCAGAGGCATGGGATAACATCCGCTACAGACATCTTAGCAAACCAAAATGTGATTTTTCCTGGCTTTCATGGAAATATAATTCAAACACTGTTTTCAAAAAATAATACAAATACACACACACGTACCTATGAATTTGCTTAACGTTTGTTTCATTGCTTTTGTATCTTTATGGTGTCTTATATATCCATAGAGCTGTTATATTTCTAGCATCGTCTGTTCCAAGAAGCTAGGAAATATTTAACAGCTCAGTATATTAGCAAAAAGAAATTATAATATTTAGGTGCTCAAGGTCCACTGGACTTGTTTCTCAAAGACGCTTTCCCTCACGACTCTACTCTCTACCCCTCACCATCGTACTTCTCTATTTGTTCTAAGTTCCATGAAGCAAAGTCCTAGTTTTGTTCACTGCTATATTCCCACACAGAGAACAGTACTTGGCACGTCTTAGCATATTAGGTGTTCAAAAATAGTGTATTTAAGGGGCTGGCCCCGTGGCCGAGTGGTTAAGTTCGCGCACTCCACAGCAGGCGGCCCAGTGTTTCGTTAGTTCGAATCCTGGGCGCGGACATGACACTGCTCATCAGACCACGTTGAGGCAGCATCCCACATACCACAACTAGAAGAACCCACAACGAAGAATACACAACTATGTACTGGGGGGCTTTGGGGAGAAAAAGGAAAAAAATAAAATCTTTAAAAAAAAAATAGTGTATTTAATATTTCTTAATGGGTTTCTTTAATCTGGTAATTCTTTTTTCTCTTTCTCCAAACATTATCACAAAAATCTTATGTTAAAAAACAAACAAGATGATATGTACTTACTTGCTTTCTGAAAACAGAAATATTTAAGCCCTATTCTTAAATCCGTACTATATACCTTTACAAGATTTTAGACCCACAATTGATGAGAAATATGCTAACAAATCTTTAATGCTAATCCATCAATATATCAAATCAACATCATTTTTCTGAAAGTTCCTAATCAGAATTTTATGACATTTCATTTTTCACTTCTTTTTTCTAATTCATGGAGGATGGGCAAAGGAGAGCGAGGTTCAGTTACAGCTGTCTGGAATTTTATTTATAACTATATCGAGACTACAATAAGAATCTCAGAGACTGAGGCCCTCAAAGAAAGAAATTTAGTACAGCCTTCAACCTTGATTGCACTTAAAATTTCCAGTGCCATGTGATTTGCGACACTATTATTCTACATCTCTCAAATGATTAAAGAGTATATAAAAATGTATCACACCCATTAATAAATATATTAAGTAAATAAGTAAATTAACCTAAATGTTTAAACATCCCTAGGGATGGGCATTCCAGAACTTAACTTAAATTTGTCTTAATGTTTCATCACAATTGCCTCCAAAATAAGATGTTTTTATCTAGTGTCTTCTCTGTGAAAACATGGGATATTTATTAGATTTATTCCTTGAACACATCCTCAAATATCTGTAGATTGATATTAAGGCTAAACACAACCTTAAACTATTTGGACAATTTGACAAATTCAGTTGAGCCAGTTTAAGGGCATCTTCTGGTAAAAAATACTGAAATATTTGAATGAATTCACTTTTTTGGGCGGTTCTGACACTTTTCTAAATCAATGTCAACTTAAGTTTTCCACTGAAATAAGCTCTTTTTTAACTAATTATGTGTAAATCCCATTTTTTTATATCTTTTCATCATTTATACGTCATCATTGAGGCTAGCTTAATGTGTCCATATCTCTTTAAGACATAACTATCCAAAAATTAAACTGGAACTAATACCAAAATTGAAAGAAGGCGTTTTCTACAGCAAATGAGTATTAACAGATTTCTACATATGTTAAATAACAATTTGGGCATCTGATTCATGGTGTGTTTTTCAACATTCATTGTTCCCAGGCAGTCACACAATTGAGTCGTTCAAGATAACGTCCTCAGTAAACCTCATACACACTCTATGATTTGTCTAGGAATTTTGGATGGTATTTATGTTTTTTTACTGATAGCATACACTATGGTGTCACATAAAAACAAAACAGAAAATTACTTATTTCACTAACATTATTTCAACGACTATTTGTAAAATCTCAAAATTCAAGCAATAATATCCACAGTAAGTGTGCCATTTTGTGTACTTTTTATACTAAGCAATATGAATTCTCCATTTTTAAAATGTCGAATTTTTCCATAGCTAAGGCCTAATTACTCAAGTAAAGTACTTAACATGCTAAATGATTCCTAAAAGAAGAAATTGGCCACAAATATTTTAAATGACTGCTCAATGAAGATTTTGCCTCTTTTTTGTGTGTGTGAGGAAGATTGGCCCTGAGCTAACAACTGTTGCCAATCTTCCTCTTTTTGCTTGAGGAAGATTGTTGCTGAGCTAACATCTGTGCCAATTTTCCTCCATTTTGTATGTGAGATGCCACCACAGCATGGCTTGATGAGCGGTGTGTAGGTCCACGCCTGAGACCTGAACCCACAAACTCCAGGTTGCTGAAGCAGAGTGCACGAACTTAACCACTATGCTACTGGGCCAGACCCTGCCTCTGTTTTTTTAAGCGATGACTCTTACTAAAGCAATTCTTCCCTTAATCATCCCAGATTTGATCTAAAATTTAATGTATTTATGTTCTGATAGTTGAAAATAAAGATCTTTTAAAAATTTGAAATAGCATTTACGTGGTTTTCCTGAATACAGAAGTATCACATTTACCCATTTGATCACAACATAGTATATAAAAGAAAGTCATAAAAGCAACATTATAACATTATAAACTTAGCATCTAAAATGCTCAAAATATGCTTACTGTATATCTTTAAAAATGCAAATGTGTCCACATACCTACAAACAAACATATACAAATACGGACAGAAATACCTGTAAAATTATTTAGGCCTTTGGAATGCACAAATGTAATATTCAATGTTTTAGCTATTTGCTGGGGACCAAAAATATCCATAACATGTAGTCACTTGTGATCTTGTTGAGAGAGACATTTTAAAAACACACAAGGGTGTATAAAACCAGTTACTTAGCTACCAAATAAACCATTGGACAATCCAGCCCCAGCATCTCAATAAGGTTCTGGTTACTCTATTTTGGTCTTTTTCTTTTTTAAAGATTGGCACCTGAGCTAACAACTGTTGCCAATCTTCTTTTTTTGTTTATTTCCTGCTTTTTTGTATATTCTTAGTTGTGGGTCCTTCTAGTTGTGTCATGTGGGACACTGCCTCAACGTGGCCTGACAAGCGGTGCCATGTCCGCACCCAGGATTCGAACCAGCGAAACCCTGGGCCATCCAAGTGGAGTGCACAAACTTAACCACTCAGCCACGAGGACGGCCCCATCTATTTTGGTCTTATTTGAAATAATTCAGAAAGAAAAAGTCAGATTTAGTAAACATGATATTAACATCACTATGATACTGATATAATCCATTATAGGTGGCAAACTTTATTTGCATTAACTATGATTTTATTTCATATAAAGAAAGTCATTACATAGCTCAAAGAACAACTTCTATTTACATAGAAATGTGTACTGGAGCATAACTGCAAACTTGGAGATCTTCTAAAATCTCAGACATGTCTTTCCTGAGTGTCAAAAGTTTGCTTTATAAGGACTATAAACTAGAATGACAATATTGACACTAAATATTTTGATTTTTATTGTTTCCATTTAAAATATGTTCAACAGTCTAGAGCATGGCTTACAGTTAATCACACACAAGTTGAATTTTTCAACATCATTTCTCATGCTGTACTATTATTTCCGAGTGAATATTTCCTGCGTGACTGATAACTGAGCACTCTAATTATAAATAGCAGCATAAATTCCTGCAACTCATAATAGATAATTTTTAAAGGGTCAAAAATCATACAGGCAACTTCCTATTTTTACTGTGGAACAGAAATATATATAGTTTTTCAAAGCGAAGTGTAAGAGCTTTCTATGTAGACAAGCAAATAATCTATCAAAGAGCATGTTTGCTCTGTATTTGGCAAGATAAAGCAAAATAAAACAAAACACATCTAATGAAGAAGAACCTGTTAGGCTTGTGTATTCTGTAATGTCTTTGCAACTAACACATTTTGCTCTACCAGAGAAGAAAATCATTCATATGTGTCATCATAAACATGCACAGTAAATTCCTGCTGTGGCATAGATATTCAGAACCATACAGTTCTAGAACTGAAATAATCTGAGTTAACTAAAGTTCTGAGATATTCTGAAATATGGAGATTACTAATATATAGGATTATATAACACATATAAACTCACCCTTCTAATCTTACATCCGGCAGACTTCTGTTAAGGGCAATCAAATCACTGGCCATAAGATTAAATTGATTGATTTTAAACAGTTCTTTCATTTTCTCATGGTCATCTTTCGGAATCAGCACAGCCTTTCCCATTTCTCCTGGCCCTTCTTGGTTTCTTGAAATAACAGCTGTAAGACACACACAGGGACACACATACATACAAACACACAGATAATGAACTGAATAAATCAACTCATGTGTTGGATTCGATTCTGAAGTGGATTATTTGTATACTGGCTTACTAATGTAATCATCAAGTTTCTATTGACTTTTACGCACCATACACTACACTGAGAAAACAACCTATTTTAATCAATTAACTCAATGCTACATGTTGTCTTTCAAGTCTAGATATATTATATGATCTGACTGATCATTAAGATTTAATAATTAAGCAACACAAAATACCAAAGTTTAAAACTTCTTTGTTACATTCTCTCATCTACCTATCAGAGAGGGAACAAGTTGAGCACTGGGCAGATCAACTTGTGCAAAATAAAAAACTTTTGAAAATATACCAAGATTAATTTATTTTCACATCCAATTAAAAGGATGGGTATTCACATGTTTACTGCCATTACACCTATTTAAAGCAAACAAGGTTGATAATCCTGTATCCTCATCGCCATTTGATTCTTTTCTCAAAGTATTTTCAAATAAGTAAAAAGAACTTTCATAGTGGTGGCATATAATGTCAAACTTCAAGTTGGATTGGGATACTGTGTGCTCCTTAATTGGATCAGTTCCAGTATTGCCCACAGCAATATTCTGGGCTTGACTGTTGATTAAGAGAACTCAGGATTTGATATACCAGCTAATGTTCTTGCCATTTCCTCCAAGATGTCACTACACTCACGTCCCTTCTAGGTCTAAAATACATATTTCGATGTGCATGTGTATGTGGGAGTATGTGTGCACACCTGTCTATCTGTATGTATGTTAACATATAATAATAAAAGGTTCCAGTCAGTCCTAATGTACCCTGAACTTACTCTTCATAATGACATTAAACTAGGTTAAAGTGAAAGAAATGTGGTTCTGGTCTTGACTTTCCCAATGTTTTGCTAGATTATAGTTCCTAACACATTAATCTTACTGAATTTAATTTCCACACACTTTAAATAGCAACTATTTGGAAACAAATTACATTAAAATATTGTAAAAAATTTAAAAGATAACTTGCATGTGAAAATACTTTGTAAATTGTAGCATTTCATAAAAATACAAACTCTAAAATAATATAAGAAGATGCTCAAAACTAAAACACAATAAGTAAATTTTCCTCTGATTTGACCTTTGCAGTTACAAAACATCAAGCCTGGTATTACCAGTCTAATATACAATTGCTCATCCAGTTGATCATTCTCTTAGAAAGGTTTTCCTGGCTTTGGTATGGCATGAGTGAAACTATAAAAGAGAATAGGCTTCTCCAAGGACCTTCAGATATGGGTATCAGGAAGACATTTAGCATGGAAATCTCCCTGTATATAGAAAAATGATAAGAACTAGGAAAGTTTAAAATCAAAAAGATACATGTATCCAAATTCAAATTATTAAAAAACCTGTCATCTAAAGAAAGCTCATGAAGAATCTCATTCACTTTAAGAAGCAAAAATGGAAATGATGTCAGGAATTTTATGAGAAAGTGTATTTTGCTCAATTTATGAAATAAAATTCTAAGCGCAATATTTTCTTTTAGGAGTTAGTCAGTTTCTTGTTCCTGACATCAGATGGGGTTTCTGGAGCTGGCTTTGGCTGAATTTGTGCTCTTGGTGAGACACTGGACTTAGATAGGCATTAAAGTACCTTCTATTTCTAGCATTATTTTGTTTGATTCCACAAGAAGTGTTCAAAATTAATTTCTATCCCTCCCTCAGAAGTCTTTCTAACTCCGAAGTAAAGAACATAATCAGGCTACATGATACTACTAACCATGGATATTTTATGTATTATATATTATTTATATGTATATACATGCATATATATGTGTTACATATCCTAGTTATAACCTAATGCCAGAAAAAATAGGATTAATTTTTTGGGGGGTAAAGAATTTTTGAATAATTAAAGAATTTGAGGTTAAAAATTTTTTTTAGAATTTTTAGAAATTAAAAAAGCAATTCACCATTCACAGTTCTTTAAAAGGTCCTCCATAAACGCTGACAAAAACACATTATGTTGCAGAGAAAGAAGCAAGGCTCAACAAAATGCTACAAAGGCTAGCAAGCAGATGGGATCAACTTTTATTCTATGCGGAAAAGACATGGAGCTTAACTACATCTTAAGGCATGAAGATCAAGGTAAGGTACACTTGGTTTTTGGAACATATTCAAAGGTGTGACCACTTCCTTGGCTTAGCATTATGAAGATTATAGTTTTGTAGGTGGTAGTAGGAGTAAGTGTATCATGTTACAGTATCATCAACAAAAATAAAATCGTCATAAACAGTATCGTTACACGTAGAACTAGTTGCAAGCACACACAATCATTCTCCTTAATTATTCTGTTTTTTAGTGGAGAATAGATCACAATGTGTGTCAGGTTGTGTCTCCTCCCCACAGTTAAATATATTTTTCTATAATAACTTCTAATGAATGCATATTCGAGATTTTATAAAATGTTTTTTCTTGTGCATCAGGAGACTTATCAGTGTTTTTCACCTTGCTTGAGCAAAAAGAATGCTAAGTAATTATAAGGTTGGAGCAGAGTTTTTCTTTTCTGGCTCTTACCTGGAGGAATTCATCTTGTTTTTTTTTTTCCCTTCAAATAATATAAATAGGAAACAGAAAAGATTAAGTAATTAGGCTACGTGGCTTGTCTCTGATCTGCAGAATCTTTAAACAGCAACTCCTATTTTTTTTTCCCACCTATTGATCTCTCTCCACTACGTAGCTTAAAAAGAACAAAGACCACTCACACACACAAAATAACATGCTCCCTCACAGGTGAACTAAAAAAATTTCTCATTGAAATGTTTGTGTACTTTTCTAATAGGCAAATGTAATACATAAGGGAAGTAATTTTACATTATAATTTCTTGATTATTGATTTGAATAATGGACGGAAAATCTCAACTCCAAAGCTAGTTTGGACTGAAAAAATATATTAATATACTATATGGTAAGTTATTTTCTTCCTAATAATATGGTGAAATCATTAAAAAGCAAATGACTGGTGCCAGCCCATTGGCATAGTGGTTAAGTTTGCATGCTCTGCTTCGGTGGCCCAGGGTTGGCAGGTTCGGGCCCCTGCCATAGACCTAAGCACCACTCATCAAGCGATGCTGTGGCAGCATCCATATACAAAACGGAGGAATATGGGCACAGATGTTAGCTCAGGGCTAAGCTTCCTCACAATAAATAAATAAATAAATGAATAAATAAATAGACAGATAATAACTTAAAATTACATTATAATGCCTGTAAAAACATAGAGCGGAGTCATTTTATATATATCTTTCTTTTTGTTTAACATAGTACATACTGTAAAGATTTACAGGAGATTTATTTAAATCTTAGAATTCCAGTTGATAAAGAGGATGACAACTAAAATATAAATAAATCCATGGATCAGTCTACCAAAAGGAACACGATATATTAATTGCTTTATTTGCTTATGTACACTGCATCATGAACATTTTTTTCATTTGCAGAAATGCCCCATTAACAAGGAGCATTGTCTATTTGAAAAAAGAGAGATGAGACGACCTATATCTAGAAAAAACCTGCAAGTAAAAAAATCTTTAATTGATTTTAAAGTAGTGATTTTATTCTGCTAAAGAACAGAGTAATATGTGATACATGTTGGTAAAAGCATAACACTGAACCAAAATCTAAATATTATTCCATGTGCCACACTTTCCAAAAACTACTTTAAATTGTATTTCCATTCTCAGATCTGCTCGTTTGTGAATTTCTGTATATTTACCTTTAAAATCTTTCTTTGCATTGACACTACAGCTCTTCTCTTACTTTTATCACTTCCAATTTGTCAGCTGTAATAAATTAAAAACCTTGACTTTTAGTCTCTCTCTCATGTTTGAATATTCATACTCTGCTGCTAATAATTTCCCTAAGACAATGCCTTTTGTCTTGTCAATCATAAATGTGTTTGTAGTAGAGTCAGAAGATGAGGAAATCACACCAATGGGACCAACTTCTATCATCCAAACCACTTTGCCCTCCTCCGCGTTCCCTGGGCCACGCTCTTTGGCCAATCTACAGACCCTGAGTTTATTCTCATTGAATAAAAGGTAATTCTCATTAAAATAAAGGAATTCAGTATATACTTGTTTTGGCTCATTTCTGTTAGAAATAATACTAGGCTTCCATATCAATATTATAGTATCAATATTATAATAATATACTTCAATATATTACATATTAAACAACCAAATTCATTCTATTTAGTGTGTGAAAAATGGTGATTCATTTACTATCTTTTTGAAAAAGGACTATAAACAATTTTTATAAATCTGACACATCTGACAACAACTTTTTATTTTTTGTCATAGCCACATGTTGTGTTCTGATTTTTGTCCATTATATTTTAGTAAGTAGACTTTTAGGCAGCAAGAAAGCTGCAAATAGCAAGCCCTGAAGCGATCAAGTCCAGCGGACATTAGCTACCCTTGCCTGGAAGAGTGCCTTCTGTTAGATAATCAATAAGGTGGCATTTTCCACCAGCTAGCTAAGTGAGAGATCATCTGCAGAACCAAGGGAATACTGACTTTGAAAACTGTCTTTCACTTATTTTTTAAGTCAAAAATATATCGTTTTTATGATAAATAAAAATACACGCTCATTTAAAAGAGAGAAAGAATGGGGCCAACCCAGTGGCACAGTGGTTAAGTGCGGCCCAGGGTTCACAGGTTCAGGTCCTGGGGGTGGGCCTACACACCCACTGATCAAGTCATGCTGTGGTGGGATGCCACATACAAAATACAGGAAGACTGGTGCAGATGTTAGCTTAGGGACAATCTTCCTCAAGCAAAAAGAGGAAGATTGGCAACAGATGTTAGGTCAGGGCCAATCTTCCTGATTGAAAAAAAAAGCAAAAAAAGAAAGCAAGAAAGGAAGATGGTAGGGAAAGCGAGCAGGAGCGAGGTAGGTAGGTAGGTAGCCACTTC